ATTTTTCATACGGAGTATAATATTTTCTTTATTTTATTAATAAATATATTTTTTTTTCATAAATCAACATAATCTTCCAAAAAACCCATTTCAACGAGAATTCCATACATTTCAGCATAATCAGGCAATACAACCGGCTTGGGTTTCACCAAACATGCCCTTAGTGTAACTATTTATACTTCTGTGAATGCAATAGCAATGATTTTTTCAAAATTTTTAATATGTCATTCTTAACTTTTGTATTCAAGTTGAGGACACCACATTCATTCTTTTTCAAATAGAATGAATAACATAAATTCCCATGAATTAGATCATCTATATAGGGCTTTTTTATTACCCAAAATCAAACCTACATATGATACTTTGTGTGCTTCTTTACAAATTTGTGCAAACATTCTACTTGTAAGTTTTGTGTTTTTTCTTCACCCTTCTTGAATTTCTTGAATTTAACTTATGATAGTTTGGCAATCAATTCATATACTTAATCATTGGTCAACAAATAATTCAGGACAATTATCTCATGTGCACCGGTTTGTAATTATCTAGAATTTGAGTAAATAATCTTATCCTTTTACAAATTTACAATACAATTTCATTTAATTAATGGTAGCATCTGATTTTAAAATTAATTCGAAAAAGAAATGACTCCTTAATAAAAAAAACTAGAAATAGATAGGATCATTTGAAATGGTGACAAGCAAATAAAATGAAAAACCTAGAGAATATAAGTATACAAATTAACATAGAAGGGTGTTATCTTAATTAAGTTGAGGAGCGGGTCTGAGATCTTTGTTTAAGTAATTTAGTGAAGATAGTTTGTATTATTTCAAGATGTTTTTAGAGAGTAAAACCTAATCCCAGGCTTAAAAGGACGCGCGGCCCATAAACAAAAGGACCCAAAAAATTTTGAACAAGGTCTACCGCCCCCGAATGAGTTTGGTTATACAGTCTCTAGCACCTTATAGGAAGAACATTCCTAGGGATATGAGGTACTGGTTTACTAATTAATCCAGCCTAGCAATTTCCCAATATATTTTTAAATCAATCCTAGCTATTTCCCGATATACTTTTAATTAAATCAATCTATTTATTGTTTGGAAAAGTAAATATTTAACTTGCAATTCCAAGCAAGTGATTGCTACTGTCTGAGTCCGTGATCGAGTAGGGTGTAGATACATAAGATGAATGGAATAAAATTTGGAAACATTACTACACCAGCTCGTAATATTAAATAATTTTGACAAAGAAAGTTTCAAATTAAAATTGAGTTTCCTAATTCAATTCGATCACCCTTTTAGTGTTGGATCCTAATATGATCAGCCAACAATTTCTGATATATACGCACTTGGTATGTACTAATTCTCATTATATTTATGCATGCTAGCTACAGTTCATCATATACATCGATCAAGGAAAAAATAACCATATAATTATGTCGCTATATTATGACTTCCTGGCCTGCTGGAATGAGAAAGAAGTCTCAAATAAGGGAGTTCCCACCGAGCTCAGCCTCTCTCTGGGGCCTTCCCCCACGAAGGATATCTATCCTCTCGACGGCCTCCTCTCGGACCACGAAGATAACAATGGAGTCTGCTTGACACTCCGGTTGTCGCCACCGGGTTCCAGTCTCTCTTCCGGTACTCCATGTAGTTGTAAAAGAAAGACACCTTCATGGGTCAAGCGGTCAAGAACTTATAACAAAAAGGATGACACCACATCCCCGAGTACGTCAAAAACTTATAAGTGCGTGCGCTCTAAGGGATCAACAAGAAGAGAAGGCAGCAGGGTGCACCAGAGCCCTTCTCCGAGAGCGGGTCTCGGAGAAGGAGGTGGGGACGGGCCGTGGGTGAAGAAGATGCTGAGCGCGAGCGACGTGAACTCGTCGTCGCGGCTTTTGTTGCCTAAGGCAGAGATCATTGATAGGTACGTGTTGCCTTCTCTGGACGAGGAGAAGGAGAGAGCCTGCCAAAGCGCGATGGGGCTGAGAGTGAAGGTGACGGACAAGGACTGCGACGAGAAATACGAGTTAACCCTTTTGCAGTGGAAAAGCGGAAGCTATGTGCTCACTAACAACTGGTCGGAATATTTTGTGAGACGGAGGATTTTGAAGGAAGGAGACTCCATTGAGTTGTCCTGGAATGCTCAAAACCTGGAGTTTCTCTTCCGCAAATCCACAAACACAGTTGATTATGTTCCTGGATCTACTTGATTGACAATTAATTAATTAGGCTTTGCTTGGACCGATTGCGTTCAATTCTTTTTTTTTTCTTTTTTAATTTCATTGGTAAATATTTCACAAAAATTATATCGTTACAGTACAGTTTTTATTATAATCACATCCTTAGTACGTAGTATATACTTCGTATCTTGCCCGTGGATTGAATTGAGATTGAATAATCACTAGAAAAAGTTACATACAGGATTGGCATGAACCGCCGCCACCGCCCGGCGGTGACAGCCTCCACCCATCACCCACCCGCCCCCCACCAGCCCCCGGCTCCCAACAGTTTTTAATTTTTTGGATGAATTGTTACAATTTATTCAAATTTAAGATTAAATATTAAATTTATGATATTTATGATATTTTTAATATTTTACAATTAGATGAAAAGATATTTCGATAGTCTATCCAAATTTAAAGAAAGAGAATTTACCCAAAATAGGACTAAAATGGTTTGAAAATTCCAAAATATGACTGACATGTTTTTATTCCCAAAATAGGACTAATTACTGTCATGTTTTGGCAGTACCAGACTTCAAACATGACAATATTTTCCAAACTTGGCAGTAATTACTTCTATTTTGGGAATAAAAAAACATGGCAGTCCTATTTTGGAATTTTCAAACTGTTTTAGTCCTATTTCGGGAACTTTCCCTTTAAGAAAATAGGAGATGATGTAATCCAACATGAAAAGATTATATCATCTGAATTAACATACATCCGAATTTCGTTTCTGAAACATGATCTCTGATGATATGTTTGCAACAGCTTCTACTTTAAAAAAAGTGCTTTTTTTAATGAAATGGGGAAAAGTGAATAAAAGTTGATAGTGTTTGAGAAAAAAGTGATTTTGAAAAGTAAAAGTTGGTAGTGTTTGGTAAAATAAGTGCTTTTTGTGTAATAGAAAAAGTAAAAGTACTTTTGACACGAAAGCCGAGAAAAACAAAAGTGGTAGTGTTTGGTAAAATAAGTGCTTTTTTAAAGCCAAAAGCTGAGAAGTGTTTTTTTTAAAGCGTTTGCAAACCAACCCTAAAGTTCCTTTGATCCAAACATGAAACTGGTTCTTTGATCGCCGCCCATAGCCACCACATGTTCGAATTAAATGACCGCTTTCTCCTACATACACCTCTGGGCAGTAGGGGATCTAGAACTTTTCTCAAGCGGGGCACTACTGTATGAACGCAGATAGGCCGGGACAGATGTGAGACTAATATATTCAAGGGAGAAAGTACAAATATACCCATGTACTATGGGTGAGAGAACAAATACACTCATGTTCTATTTTTCGGAACAAATATACCCTTGAAGTATCTGTTGAAGTGCATATATATATCCAAGAACTTTTAAAAAGTGCAAAAATACCCCTCATGTTCTTATAAAGACGCAAATTTACTCTTATTGACTTTAAATAGATAAAATAAATTTCAAAAAACACAAAAACTAACATATAAATTCGAAATTTAAAAATAAAGATTTATTATTATGTTAAAATATTAACTCTTTAATTTTAAATTTCAAAATTATTATTTTTCCGTTGTAAATGAAGCACTTTAAATTCATAAATATTAATTTTAGTCTTGTTAAAAAATTTTGAACACATTGTTATATTTTTTGAAATAACATTCTTTGATTTTGTTTAACCTTAATAAAATTAAATTCACTATTTTGTAATCTTGAACTATTTATCATCATACAAAATATGTAATTTTATAGTGCAAAGAATGCAATTTTTTTTAATATTTAACACTTTTTTGAAAGAATCTTAAATATATAGTAATGTTTTGAAATAATATTTTATACTAAAAATATTTAAATATGATATACAAACAATAAAATGGAGAATTGGACACATGTACATTTTTTTTAATTTTGAATTTATAATTTATTCTTGGTGTTTTTTGAAATTTGTTTTATCAATCTAAAGTTAATAAGTGTATATTTGCTTCTTTATAAGAATATGAGGGGTATATTTGTACCTTTCAAAAAGTTCAAGGGTATATATGCAATTTCACATATATTTCAGGGGTATATTTATTCCGAAAAATAGAACAAAGGTGTATTTGTTCTCACCCCATATTATAAGGATATATTTGTATCTTTTCCCTATATTCAATGTGTAGACAATTTTTTTAAACACGAACAAGTTATTCAGTTTCAGTTTCAAATGATTTACATCTATGTACAACATGTCTAGTTTTAAATCATTAAAAGCATTAAATTTTTTTTTCTAAACACGAACAAGTCACTCAATATTTTCTTGGTCAATGATGACAAACATCCCTCCGTCTCATTTTATCTGTCCTATTTTCCTTTTTGCATTGTCCCAAAATAAGTGTCATCTTTCTCTTTTTGGAAAGAAATATGTGGTTCAGAACATTTCACTTTAATATATGTTGAAATATAAACTGGAATAATATTGAAGAGTGGAGGAAAGATTTTCTGTGTATTCATTGGAGGGTTAAGACCCTATATATATTACAAAAATGATGGAATATTCCTATATAAGATGCTATACAATAATAATGTCTAGAGTATATTCCTAAAGCATATTCCTAGGTATAATAAAACTTTCACACTCCCCCTCAAGTTGGAGCATAGATATTTATCATGCCCAACTTGTTACATAAGTAATCAACTCGAATCCCATTTAGAGCTTTAGTGAATAAATCTCCAAGTTGTTCTCCCGTCTTCACATATCCGGTAGAGATTAATCCTTTTTGTATTTTCTCTCGAATAAAATGGCAATCAATCTCAATATGCTTTGTTCTCTCATGAAATACGGGATTGTTTGCTATGTGTATAGCAGCTTGGTTATCGCACCACAACTGAGCAGGCATTGGTGTCTTCAATCCGATTTCATTCAATAAATGGTGTATCCATATTATCTCACATGCGGATTGTGCCATAGCTCGATATTCTGATTCAGCACTAGAACGAGAAACCACATTCTGTTTCTTACTCTTCCAGGATACGAGATTACCACCAACAAAGACGCAATAGCCAGATGTAGATCTTCGATCATCTTTAGAACCGGCCCAATCAGCATCTGCAAAGCATTCTATTCTCATGTGATCATGGTTTTGATAAACAATACCTCGTCCCGGTGCTCCCTTTAAGTAACATAATATGTGTTCTACAGCAGCCCAATGATCAATGGTCGGAGACGACATGTATTGACTCACTACACTCACAGAGTAAGCAATATCTGGACGAGTGACTGCGAGATAATTAAGCTTTCCAACCAAGCGTCTATATCTTTCTGGGTCTTCAAACGGCATGCCTTCTCGAGTGAGTTGCACATTGGGAACCATGGGAGTATTGCTCGGCTTTGATCCCAATTTCCCTGTTACAGCTAGCAAATCAAGTACATATTTTCGTTGAGATAGAAATATGCCTTTCTTACTCCGTGTTACATCAATACCCAAGAAATATTTCAATGAGCCTAAATCTTTTGTTTGGAACTGGCTATGAAGATAATTCTTAAGGGCCAAAATACCTGCATTATCACTGCCTGTAATCACAATATCATCGACATACACCACAAGCAATGTGATACCTGCTTTCGTTTGTCTATAAAAGAGAGAGTGATCTGATTTGCCTTTTATCATTCCAAACTGTTCAATTGATCGACTGAACTTCCCAAACCATGCACGAGGACTTTGTTTCAAACCATAAAGAGATTTGCGAAGTCGACAAACTTTACCACACTCCCCCTGAGCAACAAACCCCGGAGGTTGCTCGATGTAAACTTCTTCCTGAAGGTCACCATGCAAGAATGCATTTTTAATGTCCAGCTGATGTAAGTGCCAATCGTGAGTTGATGCGAGTGAAATAAGTAACCTGACAGATGTTAATTTAGCAACAGGAGAAAAAGTGTCAGAATAATCAACACCATAGGTTTGAGCATAACCCTTCGCAACTAATCGGGCTTTCAACCGAGCAACAGAACCGTCTGGATTAACCTTAACAGCAAAGACCCACTTACATCCAATAGAATTCTTCCCTGTAGGCAAGTCTACCAAATCCCAAGTACCATTAAGATCCAAAGCATTCATTTCCTCTACCATTGCATGCCGCCATTCAGGATGAGACAAAGCTTCTTTAACAGATTTGGGAACAGAAATAGAATCGATGGAAGCAATAAACGAACATGAGGCTGGGGATAACTGACCATACGACACAAATGAAGAAATAGGATGAGTACAAGATCGTGTACCTTTACGTAGTGCTATTGGGAGGTCAAGATCTGATGTAGAGACAAGATCTGAAGATGCAGGTACTGGTTCAGGACATGAGATCGAAGTCGAACTAGTATCAGGATAAGTAATCACAGGTATCGCTGGTGGAGGGTGATCAGGTGCTTTGTGTCGACGGGTGTATACCAAATGTACGGGAAGCCTAGGGTCGGGAACAGTAACTTGTGGAATACTTGTCGAAAGTGTGTACTCGGGAATAGTCATCGTGTAAATGAGTATATCATCATTACTCTCATGAATATCTGCCTTAGATGATGAAAAAGGTGTATTTTCATGAAATGATGCATCAATAGAAACAAGATACCGACCTGTACTCGGACAAAAGCATCTATACCCCTTTTGGACTCGAGAATAACCCAAGAAAATACATTTTGATGATTTAGGATCTAACTTGGTAAGATGAGGATTAACATCTCTAACAAAACAAGTGCAACCAAATATTTTAGGTGGGATAGGAAAAAGCTCTTTGTTTGGAAATAGACAATGATAAGGAGCTTTACCATTCAAAACAGAAGATGGCATACGATTTATCAAAAAACATGCAGTAGACACGGCATCGGCCCAAAACTGTTTAGGCACATTCATGTGGAATAGAAGAGGCCTTGCAGTTTCTAACAGATGTCGGTTCTTTTGTTCTGCAACCCCATTTTGAGGAGGTGTGTCAACACATGAAGTTTGATGAATAATGCCATGCTGAAGCATAAATGACTTAAAAGTGGCAGATAGATATTCTTGGGCATTGTCTCCTCTTAACACCCGAACAGGAACGTTAAACTGAGTTTTAATTTCAGCACAAAAGGAAGAAAAATGAGTGAACAACTCAGATCGACGTTTCATGAAATACAACTATGTCACACGAGAATAGTCATCAACAAAGGTAACAAAATATTTATAACCAGCTTTAGACACAACCGGGCAAGCACCCCAAACATCAGAGTGAACAAGGTCAAATGAAGCATTTGCTCGTTTATTAACTCGAGGGCTTAAGCTAGTACGATGATGTTTCGCAAATTGACATGACTCACATTGTAAAGAGGTCATCTTATTAAATTGGGGATTTATTTGCTTCATTAATGGGAGAGATGGATGTCCTAATCGGTAATGAGCATCTAACAAAGTGCTCACCCCAAGACAAGAGATACCTTTTGTGATTGATGTATCCAAAATATAAAGACCACCTGACTCATGTCCTTTACCAATAGTCTGCTTCGTTAACAGATCCTGAAACACACAATATCCAGGAAAAAATGTTACAGAACAATTAAGAGTACGCGTGATTTTGCTGATGGAAAGTAGATTAAATGCAAAATTAGGAAGACTCAAAACATGCGATAATGGTAATGTAGAAGTTGGGACAACAGTACCGGATCCAAGAACTGGTGAGGTAGATCCATCAGCTAAAGTGACACTAGAAGAAGGTAAATATGAATGAAATGACGAGAATAGACTAGGATTACCGGTCATATGATCTGTGGCACCTGAGTCAATGACCCATTTCGAGGATGATGAAACAAGACATGTGGCTGAAATACCTGAATTCGCGGCTACAGAGATAGGGACAGATGAATGCTTTAGAGATTCTTGGTAGCAAATAAATTTGGCATACTCGTCTGAAGAAATAGCAACCGATCCGTCAAATGAACTGGTAGCGGAAGCAATATGAGCAAGCTGATTTCCTTGATTTTTGAACATCAATTTCTTACACTCTTTGATCAAGTGTCCAGGCTTTTTGCAATAATTGCATATTAAACCTCTGTCAAATCCACTCGTACAAGACATAACTTTTTTTTTCTTTTTTTTTTCTTTTTTTTTCAAATTTTTTTTATGAGACCGCAATTAAATAAATAAAAAAAATTGAGATTTTATGAAATCTTACAGCAGCTTACGTACGATGCGAGACCCCCCAGCATGTGCGAACAATTAATGTAGGAGCCTGCGGATGTTCACAAATATCCTTTGCGAGGCCCCGACAGATGCGAACAACCAGAAGGAGCGGATGTCCATTGATATTCGTCCAGAGATGTTCGATGTCAAACCCCAACGACCAACCACAGATATCCGTCGAAGAAAGAGCGAAAGAAGTACTGAACGAGTGTCGATTTTGCCTTGCGGATTTCGAGTGTTTGGTCGGCGGTGGAAGGGATGCCTGCTTCGGTTGGAGGTGCTACTGTGAATTTTGGACGAAGGTTCTGAGTTTGGGACTAAGGTTCTGATTTTTTTTTTCTGGACTGTACCAAGGTTCTGAAAGATTCTGAAGAATCTGAAAAAAAAAAAAAAAAAAACTGAACTCAAGTTCCTGAAGAATCTGAAAACTGAAATTCCTGAAGAAAGAATTTGGAAACAGTTTCTGGGAAGAGGTTCTGGGCAGAGCAGGAGGTTCTGAGATAGGAGGTTCTGGGAAGAGTAGGAGGTTCTGAGATAGGAGGTTCTTGGAGACAGAGTGCTGCCTCGAGGTTCTGAAGATTTTGGACTGAAATCTATTTCTAGGAGAAAGAACACAGTCTGAAAACTAAACTAAGATAACAAACTAAGCTGAAATCTGAAAATAAACTAAACTGGAATGGAATGCTCTGATACCATGTTGAAATATAAACTGGAATAATATTGAAGAGTGGAGGAAAGATTTTCTGTGTATTCATTGGAGGGTTAAGACCCTATATATATTACAAAAATGATGGAATATTCCTATATAAGATGCTATACAATAATAATGTCTAGAGTATATTCCTAAAGCATATTCCTAGGTATAATAATACTTTCACAATATAATATACTCAAATCTCAACCACAACTTTTACCTTTTCAAACACTTTGTTAAAAATTGTGTCAAAACTAAAGGAGACATATAAAATGAGACGGAGGTAGTAATATTCAGTTTCTTGAAAGAAAAACATAATACTTCATATGAATCAGAACTGAATCATCCCGGCCTCATTTTTTGTTTTGGATTAGAATTCAAGTTGTTTTTGTACCACAAACAGTCAAAATTTTGATTTAAAACTAGGACAATGTCCAAGGTTAAACATCCTGCCACAGAATTACAGTGCTCAAAATTCCTTCATCAACTCGGGATTAAATTGTGAACCCTAACATGTAACTCCCGACCGAGCTAAACTACTATAATTTCTTGATTCAACCATCTCCCGTTTGTTACTACTACACCCTGTTCTAATAAATCTCTTATGGCATCATATTGTTTTTGTCGGAATACGCCTTTTATTTTACACGAGTATCCCAACATTTTAGTAACATAACCATGGAGAAATATTCAAAGAAAGTTATCCACAAACTTCTTTTTTTGTACAATTGCCACAACAGCTAATTATAATTGGTAAGAAAATGATGAGTGCCCTTGATACTAACTAAGCCCCAAGTGAGGTAAAAGTCTAGGGGGGGATAGACTTTTAAATCTTTCCGATTTATAGGACAACAATTAGGCCTGCACTGCTGTATGGCGTAGAGTGTTGGGCGGTGAAACAATGTCACATCCAAAAGATGAGTGTGGCAGAGATGCGCATGTTGCGTTGGATGTGTGGGCATACTAGGAAGGACCACGTGCGAAATGAGACAATCAGACAAAGAGTGGGAGTAGTACCTATTGAAGACAAGATGCGGGAGTCTCGCCTACGGTGGTTTGGTCATGTGCGTAGAAGACCGAGTGATGCACCTGTCAGACGTGTTGAGATGTGTGGAGAAGAGGTAGGGAAGAGAGGGAGAGGAAGACCCAAACAGACGTGGGTTAGGGGAGTCCGAAGTGATATGCTTCTTCTTGGGTTGGATGAGGGTATGGCTTTGGAAAGAGCAAGGTGGAGGGCGAGTATTCGTGTGGAGGAATGATCTCGTATTTTTTTCCCCTCATTTTCTTCTTCTTGTTTTTTTTATTCTTTTATCCTTATATGTATAAACATTATTTTTGTCCTTTTTATTTTATCATTTTTAGGTATACTCATATCGTTTTATATTATCTTTTTATATTAGCTTATTTTTTTAATCTTTATTTTCTTTCTTTTCCTTTTGGTGGTGATATCATGTATCGATTCATGTTAGCTGACCCCAATATCTTTTGGGACTAAGGCTTGGATGTTGTTGTTGTTGTTTCCTCTAACTGGATATGTTCCAATATCTTTTGGTAGACATTGAAACATGCAACAGAAGTCTTGACCTCAAGAGGATGACACTTTATAGAAACAAAGGTTATGACCCTTTTAGTTGTGAGAGATGAGTTAAACATGACAAAT